CGGTATGTAGGTACCACATACGTGCCACGTGTCACTCCTCCGCGTTCTCTGACAGCAGGAACGGGGCTGTGTGCATTGCACATTCTTACGATACCTGACAGGATGATGAAAACCAGGAAAAGGAACTTTATCCTTCTGTCCATGGTGTTGGGCACTGGTTTTGATCCCTGCCCTGCTGTCATTTCTTAGACCCAGGAAACTGAGGCAAGGGTGCGTGTTGGGGTGGGGATTTGGAAACATTTCTTCTTCCCTGGAGCTACCATGATCTGCTGGAGACAAGAGATGAAGAAACAAGCACATTCATGGCTTGTGGCTTTGATTCTCCCATTGGCATCTCTGAAAACAAACAAGTATAATTTTGCAGGGTGGACAGCGCCTTAGAGAGAGATTGCTGTGCAAGTCCTTCTGACAGCTCAGCCTAGGAGCTGCCCATGTGTATCGCTAAGCAAGAAGGAAGTCAACATCTAACAGAGCAAAGACCTTCCCCAAACCCATGTGATCAGTGAACTTGTCTCTGAGGCCCCACGTGGTGTTTAGCGGCTCTGCCTGGATTCCTGGCCAATCTCTAAGGTTCTAGATTTTCCACTAGGCTCAGTGGCTTCTCCTCGGTATTTCTGTCAACGGGATTTGCATCTCTTGACCTTGGCCCCTCCTTTCTCTTTGTTTTCATTGAGTAAGTCGTCTGTAGATGTGAAGAGCTTGGCTGGAGCCAAACTGCCTGCCTCCTACTTAACCCCTTGCTAAGTGGCCTTGAGCAGAGCACCTCCCCACGCTGGGCCTGCTCCCCATCTGTGAAATGGGGACATGAAGAGTGCCTACGTCATAGGGTTGCTATGAAGGTTACAGAATACTTACAAAGCACTTAGAGAAATGTCTAGCACATGTTTGCTAAGCATAATACAAACTGTGACTTCTGCATGTGAAAAACGGAATATTCCCAAATACTGGGATGGAAATAGGGATCAGGGATTGAACTCCATGAACTATAGGACCCCTTCCAAACCTGGGTTTTATGCCCATGAGAGGATAATCAGCATTTTTTAAAAAAATTCACTCCCATGTGGTTCTGGTTCCCACATCTGGAAACTTGCTCCTCTGTAAGTAACAACAGCCACATCCTTAAAGGTTTAGGCCAAGAAGTTATGATTAAATGCTTAGGAATTCTGTAATGAAACTTTTATCATTTTTGGGATATGGATTAGGGAAACGGTGGGTACACATAGCTAAGAAACAGTATTAACCAATGGAAAAATAAGGCGTTTGAAACCCAAAAGCGATCTTTAAACTATCTGAGAAACGAGGTATGGGGGATCCTGGCGTCCAGTTTTAGCCCCTCTACTGACCAGCCGTATCTCTCTGCCTCTCTGTCTCTCTATCTCTCTGTCTCTCACGTCAAATTGCAGCAGGTTTCTTTACACATTGAATTAAAGTCAAAGTAAAACAGAAACACTTCAACTCCAACAGCCATGACATAGTTTATTTAAAAAAAAAAAGTTTGTCTTAGAGAACGCAACGAGAAATGAAGGACTTTATGTTAGAATAAAAAATATTTAAAAGTAATTTGGGTGCCTTCCTCCCGGGACAGAATTAGGAAGACTGTCTAGATGCCTCCGAGCCCAGTTCTCAGATTGGCTCACTCTACCAGGACAGATGCTATATACCCAACAGCTATGCGAAGTGTTGAATGCAGAGCAATGGGAGTGTGTGCAGCAGGCCTGGGTAGCTATGCAGACCCTAGTAACTGAACATCGGTACAATGATTTTGATGACTTTTAAAATTAAATATCTGATATCGGGCATCAGTAGAGAATGTTAGCTTTATTTTCATTTTTATGAGACATGTAAGGAACTTGTCAAGAAATTACCTGGGGCTTTTTACTGGCTTGAGATTTCTAAAACACAACACACAGCGCCGCCTAGTGGAGAGGACACATGTCTGCACGGTGGGGGGGAAAGGAGGTGCCCCACTAACTTAGCTTCTGTCTGGACATAATTGTAAAAGGCTATGAATATAGCCTGTTCTCTTACACAGAAGCCCTGATTGTCTCTCCTCCTCCACCTTACAAACAGTAGGGATCACCACAGTCTCTTTGCCATGGGATCCGACTGGGTAGGAAGTGGTATGGCAACACCTGCTCCATGGCTGTTGATCAAAACATGGTGACCAGGGACATTAAGATAACCCCTGCACGCCCTAACCGATTTGGCTCAGTGGATAGAGCGTCGGCCTGCAGACTGAAGTGTCCCAGGTTCGATTCCGGTCAAGGGCATGTACCTTGGTTGTGGGCACATCCCCAGTGGGGAGTGTGCAGGAGGCCGCTGATCGATGTTTCTCTCTCATCGATGTTTCTAACTCTCTATCCCTCTCCCTTCCTCTCTGTAAAAAATCAATAATATATATAAAGATAATCCCTGCTTTATCTAAGGGACGACCTCCAGGGAGGCCATATGCACAAGCGGTGCCCTATCAGACACTGGCGGTAGGGTGCCCACGTAGACCTCTCCATGAAATTCATTCTGCGCCCTCCCAGCCTTTTACTTCTTATCCCAACCCTGTGCAGTTTTGGGAGGTGGTTGATACGACTGCTTTGCGTATGAAGGTGGGAAGTAATCTGTCCTTCATTTCACTGTGGCCGGTAGCTATGGACAGGATCTCTAGAAGGCAGGCTGAGCTAAAAAAAAAAAAAAAAAATACTTGGTTCCAAGTATGATTTTTGCCCTTCACACACAGCCTGCCATTTACATCTGTGAAAATAACAACAACTGGACGGGAAGGAAGTCAATTTCCAACCTTCACACATTTTTCTCCACAGAAGTAGTCACCCAAAACGTCGTAACCGTTACCCATTGATCTAAAGGTCGGACAACTTTGCTGGGGAATAAGAAAGACGGAAACCTACACGTTTTCCCAGACGTGCGTTTTCAGCAAGTCTCTCGGGAGAAGGTGCCAAGAGGCAGCCTGTGCTGTTGGGAGTCCCTGGGCCGGCTCAGCAACTCCGCACGGACTCGCCAGGAACTGCCGGCTTCGGTGGGATGTCCGAAGGAGCCACCCGGCCCCACTCCCCTCAACATTTCACATCCACATCCTCCGTTTCCCTTCAATCTGCTGGGGTGTGTGTGGGGGGGTGGGAGAGGGGGAAAGAGATGTTTGTTTCCTTTCTTACCTAAGGATTCTAGGCCAGAAGGAAACCATTTCCTTTGAAACATTCAGTGGCCAAACTATATCTGCAAAGTTTTTTCAAGCTGAATACGATAGAGACAGGTCAAGGGCAGGGATACTGCGCCTGGTCCTCACCAGCCCATGACCCACAAAGTCACCAGTTCTCTCCACTCTTAGTTTGGAGCTGAACCCCCGCTGGGTGGCAGGGCTGGGTGACAACAGGATGCGGGAGGGAAGGCAGAGGAGTGGCCCTGACTGCCTCCTCTCAGTCCAAGTCCACAGAGCTCAGCTGTTTTCAGTCCAAGATGGGCCTGGAGGGGGGTGGGGGTGGGGTGGGAGTGGGGGTGGGGGGTAGCACACCTGCGTGCACCCTGGCACTAAGTGAAGTTGGGCACGTTACTTAATCTCTTTACGCCTTTATTTTTGCTACTTTAAATTGGGGGCGATAATAGATTGTTGGAAAAATTAAGTAAATTCCATTTCAAAGGAACTAGTGTACTGCTGGCGTATAGCATGTACCCAGTCAACATTCTCTTAACAATGTGTTTTCTGATTCTTTAAGCTGGGATATTCTTCTTCAAATGGCTCTAGGGAGTCAGGATGAGACTCAAAGTGGTGCCAGCCAGTGTCCCTCTATTTAGTGACACATTCCACTTGGCCTAGGATCTGACACAGGTATGAAGTTATATCTGATTCTGGGAACACATCCCTCACCAGCTTCGGAGAAAGGGCTACCAAGATGAAACAAATGACAATAACCCCAAATGGACTCACTGGTGATTAAATAAGGCACACCAAGGCCACCAAGTCCTGGAAGAAAGAGAATCCAGAGATACCTAGCAGCAAGACAAGCACGCAACACTTCCACACCCTTTCACTAATCCCCCACGTAAACCCGAAATGCACCAATACTAGATGCGGGGAGCTGTGGTGAGTTTGCAGCGAGAGCCAGTCCTGGGTTGGTGTGGGGGCTCTCTTAGAGCGGAGGGAAGTGACACCGTTGCCGGGGAGTTCTGTGGCCGGACACACACAGAGTGGCCAATAACAACACCTGAGTAGTTTTCCAACTCATCACAGTAAAGTCACCTTTTGAACGCTGGGTGCCTTTCCTTCCCACATGACCCCAAGCTTACGTCTAAGGACTGTGTGCGTTATGAAAAGGACCAAATTCTCTCACTTACTGGACAGCAGGAGCCAAGCGCGCCTTTTCCTGAAATCCCCTTACTGCCGTCCTGGTTGAAAATCTCCTCTAAGCGGATCAGTTACTATTTCCCTTACAGAACAGATGGGAAACCTGGGTACAGGTGTTAGGAAGAGTGCAACATCCCTCTCAAGCTGGTCAGAATCTACCTCCAAAGAGACAATTTTTTAAAAAAATATATATTTTTATTGATTTCAGAGAGGAAGGGAGAGGGAGAGATAGAAACATGAATGAGAGAGAATCACTGATTGGCCACCTCGTGCACGCCGGGAATCAAACCGTGACCTTCCAGCTCGTAGGTCGATGCTCAACCAGCAGCCCCGCGTCTGGAAGCCAGGACTCAAGGGATCTGTCTTAGCAATGAATGGATTTCCCCTGATCTTAAGGCACGAAGGCTATCAAAACAAGGCTCCAGCCCTAACTGGCTTGGCTCAGTGGATAGAGCGTCGGCCTGCGGACTGAAGAGTCCCAGGTTCGATTCCGGTCAAGGGCAGGTACCTTGGTTGCAAGCACATCCCCAGTAGGGGGTGTGCAGGAGGCAACAGATCGATGTTTCTCTCTCATTGATGTTTCTAACTCTATCCCTCTCCCTTCCTCTCTGTAAAAAATTAATAAAATATATTTTAAAAAAACACAAAAAAAACCCACAAAAAAACAAGGCTCCAACTAGTACCCTTTTGCTCATGAGTAACATCCAAGTGAGGGAGAGGACGGGGTCTTGGTTTTCGTGAACAGTGCTCAGTAGGACCTCAGTGGTTTGGCATAGACTGGCTCCAGGATGTGATGAGTTAGAACCAAGAAGAGAGCTCCGAGGAAGACAGCAGTGAGGCAAGCCAGCAGGACGTAGCGACCAATGAAGAAGGCATCCACGATCTGAGAAAGAAACATCACAAAGGAAGTTACTGTCCCTTCAGCACCCAGCTGTGCTCGTCGGAAATCGCTGGTGACTGGGCCCAGAGTCTGTTCGTATGTGTGACTTCCAGTAACCTCCTGCCCTGGGTCTCCTCTGTAATTGGTCAAGAAAGAACATTTTCTTAACGCCCTGAGCCGGAAGTGCAAGATAAGGAAAGAATGAATGAAGTACAGGAAACAAATGGCTCCATTTAGGAGATCTGTAAACACGGTGAAGACCCCGGACAAGTTCTTTATGTTCTGGAATCATATGTTATGGGATCTGAAAGCATTTGTGAAAAGCTTGCTTGGTCTTAGAAAGGCTCCTTTTTGTTAACTTTTTATTAGAGAGAATTTTAAACATGCATAAAAATGTGACAGCATAATAAGTCCCACGTACCCCAAATCCTAACGCCAAAATAACCCATTGCCAACTGTGGAGGGTTCATCTTCAAAGTGAAAAGGTGGCTCTTTAAAATGTTCATCTGAAGAGTTCTGAACCCTAACATTCATACCCAGCATTCCCAGGGTTAGGGAGAATGGCCATTTACCTGAGATACTAAAGCACTAAGAGGATAGGTAGATCATGTGCCCCAATCATACAGGTGGCTGCTTGGCAACCAGTCATACTTGAGGCCCCAAAGCTGTTAGTCTTCGCTGACAAAAACCTATAATTAGCGTTAGCTCTACCCACTGGTCTCCTGTCCGTTGCCAGCGCTCTACTCTCTCCAGATCCAAATGGTGGTGCTTAAGTTTGGGCAGGAAAAAAGAAATTTAATCTATAGCCCTAATGGAACAGCTACACAAACCAAGAGACTGGGTGACTTCACAGATTCCAGAAGCTTTGAGAAGCCAGTACCTCATAGAGAATCCCAAATATTTAAAAGGTGACTGGGGTACACAGAACAACACTGCAAGAATGCCCCCAGCTTAATTTTCAAAAATTGGGGATGTGTTAGGTTACATGGCAAAGCAGAATTAAGGTTGTAAGAGGAACTAAGCTTGCTAATTAGCTCACCTTAAAATAGACAGGTTAGCCTGGCTGACAGGCGGGCCCAGTGTAATCACAGGGTCCGCAAAAGTACAGGAGGGAAGCCAAGTCCGAGAGGTGTTACCTTCCTGACTCTGAAGAGGGAGCGAAAGACCCCTGGCCAAGGGTGACCCCCCGAAGCTGGAAAGGGCCAAAAAACAGTCTTTCCGAGAACCTGTAGAGAGGGAATCAGCCCTCCCAACCCCTTGGCGTTACCCCAGTGAGACCGATTTTGAACTTCTGGCTCACTTTTAAGATAACACATTTGTGTTGAAAGCCACTGAGTTTGTGGTCATTTGTTACAGCAGCCGCCGGACAGTGACAGTACAGGGGCCACCCACCAAGCACCTGTCAAGTCCGAATACTGCTGCGATCGCTGAGACCCAAAGACACCACGAAGCAAGGGCTGCTCCAGAGACACCCCCACAGCCAACGCAGAACAAAGGTCAGTCTGATCAAACAGCTTTAACACAACTTTGACCTTGGCTCCAGTATGAACAAGTCTCCCTCGGGCTACATGTTTGCTCGTTCGACACGTTTCACTTTTTAATTAGCCAATTAGCAGGCCTTGGGTGGAGAAGGCCCAGGCCATGTATTATTGATAGGTATTGAGCCAGGCTGCTGCCGGACCGGTTCTCAGAGCCCGAAAATGAGAACTCCAGTCCGCTGGCCATGCTGACGAACATCTTCTGCTCAAACCCCGCGCTCCTCTCCCGGGTCTGCAGGTCACATGACAGGACAGAGGGACTGACTGTGAACAGTGTTTGCTCTGTGCCCTCTCCCAACATTGGTATCTGCAGCCGTCCAGAAATCAGCAGCCTTCGTCGCGCTCCCCTTTAAGTCAGGGAACCCGAGGTGGGAGCTACGGCAGCTCACACACGGTACTCACACCAGCAGAGTGGTTTGAAACGCTGACCAAAGAACCTAGCACGGATGGAAAAAATTCCTTAAATTGTGTGGTATTATTTCCTGGGAGTTTTCAGAACAATTCTCCCCCCTTTTGCCATGATTAGCCCTAGGTAGAGTTGGAAATATGTGCCAATTTTGGTTCAGAATGCTATAATTTTGTGTCCTGTTGTAAAGTATCAAAATAGTTACTTATGAACTCCCTGTGATGGCCCCTAATAGCCTTGAGTCCCCAACAATGAAAGTTTTGAAGACAGAGCTCAGCTTCAATCCTTGCTCTCACTCCTTCTATATATGTCTGACCTTGGGCCAGTACTTTTACCTCGTACAGCCTCAGTGTCCTTACCTATAAAATGGGGATAATAACAGTACCTACTTCATGCTAATTCGGGTCATTTGCAGCGGTTCTCAACCTGTGGGTTGTGACCCCTTTGGGGGTCGAACGACCCTTTCACAGGGGTCGCCTAAGACCATCGGAAAACACATATATAACTACATATTGTTTTTGTGATTAATCACTATGCTTTAATTATGTTCAATTTTTAACAATGAAATTGGGGTTCACCACAACATGAGGAACTGTTTTAAAGGGTCGCGGCATTAGGAAGGTTGAGAACCACTGATCTAGAGGTTTAAATGAGATCATGCAAACAATGTGCTTATTACAGGACCTTGCACACAGTAATCCCTTAAAAATGTTAGCTATTTTCACCATCCTGCTTAAGAAGTTACAGTGGAGGTTGAAAGAAGCTGACAGAAGGAATAAAGGGACATAAGAAGTCAATACCATTAAGATGGCAGGGGTCTGAGAGCAGCTGTGCAGGAAGAAGCCAGGGCCCCAACCAGGAATGAACCAGAAGGAGGAGAGTGTCCAGGGATGGGCTATGAGAAAGATGTGAAATCCACTGAGAGGTGGTGCGGGCAGGTGCGGTTCCAGGAATGAGGACCAAAGGAACGCCCAGAAGACTGAGTGGTGAGCTCATCTATTGGAACGGCTTCCTCACTACTCTTCTCTATGAAAGGTGTATTCTTCACGTCAGAAATGGAAAAATTCAAACACAAGGAGGCAGAAAAGCGTGCCGCTCAGCACCTTGGGGGCACGGCAGAAGGTCAGGCCCAGGATCCGAGTTTCTGAGCCCAGGCCACCTGGAAGGAACACTGTGATGTCAGGAGCAGGTCTATTCCTATTCTTAACTCACTTTTCCTCTCCCTGCCCCACAGCAGGAGGTGGGTTTCAGACGGTGCTCATTCATCTGGATGGGGACTCTGAACATGATTCTATTCCTGGGTGAAGGGCGGGGAAGCTAAACCTCCCCCGAGCTTTCCTCATTCTCACTTGAACTTTACAAATCTCCTAGCCCTGACCGGTGTGGCTCAGTGGATAGAGCGTCGGCCTGCAGACTGAGGGGTCCCAGGTTCGATTCCGGTCAGGGGCATGTACCTGGGTTGTGGGCACATCCCCAGTGGGAGGTGTGCAGGAGGCAGCTGATCGATGTTTCTCACTCATCGATGTTTCTAACTCTCTATCCCTCTCCCTTCCTCTCTGTGAAAAATCAATGAAATATATTAAAAAAAAAAATCTCCTAACACAGCTTAGCCCACCGGACATCAGGGAACGCCACAGGGCAGGAGTGAGGCCCAGGCCAAGAGGAACAAGAGTTACAACTTGAGAGGCAAAATAAAAGCGACCGTCTTACCTTCATCTCCACCTCTGGGGCTGGGGTCTCACTGGCGCGGGGGAAGAGCAACAGGACTGCCGTGATGAGCAGAGCACCGAGGAATACCAAAACCACGGAGAACCTGGGGTCAAAGGGCAAGCGTTACAGCACTGCTTATGGTTTCCTCTCTGTCAGTCGGGCCCGATGGGCTCTTCCCTGGGGCCAGTCTTCTATGTTTCAGCCCATTAACAAAGCCCAGGGACCGGCTGTCCACGCTGCCTGTAAATTTAGAAATGTTTTCATCCCAAAGCCCTTCTTCCATGGCAGTACCAGCTGGACGCGTTCCTGTTCATTCCGTCATTCCAAGCTTCCAAGAATGGGAATTGCGAGTTTTCCTTTTTGCCTCCGCAGAGTCATAATCACAAAAAACCAAAGTGGCCCCTCCCTCACCCCAGTGTCCGTGTTTGCTTTGAGAGCAGAATACTTGAGTAAAGTATGTGACTCGCTGCTTTACCCCCGGCAGTGGCCAGGGAGCACAAAGCTACAGTGTTGTTGTGTCAGCTCATGGCCTCTATCCTGAGGCTGGTGCCTGATGGAGAGCCGGTCATTATCAGGGTCCCTGGGCCCAGGCCTAGAGCTTAGGGACTGGACCAAGCATCGGCCACAGGCTGAACAATGAAGAAACTCACACATGCACAACCCCAATGCTTGGTGCTTATGACAGAAGGTGAAAATGTGCCAATAGTTACAGAAAGGATCTTCTGAATTCTAAATGTGTTATGAGCACCGGCGATTTTGCTCCTCATTGTTTTACCGTGGATTCCCAGGGGGAGAGAGCGCCTTACCTGGTTGCACCGGAGGCTCTGGACAACACCGCACACAGCAGCAGCGCCAGCACCCAGACCAGAGCTAAGACGAACACGCCGGTGCCCACACCGAGCACAGTGCCGGCCACCTGTGGGGAGAGGAAGCCTGAGACCTGCACTCACCCCAGCCCTGGGCCAGGGCGGGACCAGGTGTCCTCTCAGCCCCCAGCCCGCCCACCTTCTGCGCACTCCTGGGGTACATGAAAGCACTCAGCCAAATACAGAAAAGTCCAAACTCATAATATAAAAAGATGTCGATATGCATATGTACATATGTATAAGTAGGAATAAGTCCAACAAAAGATGTACAAGATTTTTATAACAAAACTTATAAAATGTTATTCAAAGATTTTTTTTTCAAAGACCTGAATAGAAAAATAAAACAGACCCGAATAGAGACATAACCCATGTTCCTATTTGGGATGGTTCAACTTGAATAGATCTTAATTTTCCTTAATCTATCAATTCAATGCCATTCTCACCAAAAAAAAAATCTCAAAATAATATTTTTTGTGTGTGGAACTCGAAAACCGATCCTAAATTCATATGGAAGAGCAAAAGCCCAAGAATAGCAAAAACAATTTTAAGAACTAGGATGGAAACTTGCCTTTCTTGTTACCAACTGCCACAAGACACATTATAAAACCAAGGTAATTAAAACAGTGTGATGGTGGCATAAAGACACATGGACCAGCAGAACAAGATAGAGAACCCAGAGCCAGATCCAGGCATTTATGAGAGCTTTGTTCAGGACAGAGTTGGCTTTAGGATTCAGTGGATTTCATAGGTGGTGCTGGGACAGATGATTATCCAATCAGAAAATAATAAAATTAGATCTCTACTTTAAATCATGCACAGAAACCAATTTTAAATGGAAAGTAATTCATTATAAAACAGCATATGTTTAAATATACAAATGTTCGGGCTGACTACCCTAGAATACGTAATGAAGTACAGCAGTCAGATGCTTGCACCTAAACTTAGAATCACCATGAGTGGAAAAGTACAAAATGCAGGCTGATGCAGGTGCGTTGGATGGCAGCTCAAATACCACGAGCTGGGCTGCCTTCAGTTATGTGAATTTTCTAGAGTGATGAACAACTCCTGTTAAAGTTCCAAACCACAAATAAGTATCATTTCCCCTTGATTTACATTAGAGTTGCATTCCTGGAAATTTTAACTATGTTCCACTCTGCCAAAAAATACATTATGTTTGTCCAAAAAAATAAAGTTAGATTTAGGCTCCGATGATACATGAGTATCCTGTGGGACACTCCAGAGCTGTACAGGATGCAGGACAGTTCTTCACCGCGAGGGCTGTCTGTGCATCGCAGAATATCGAACAGCTCGGGCCCTGCTCTGTAACCCCCCAAAGTCACAATAATACTCAAATAGGCCCCCACACATTCCAAAATGACCAAGGAGACATACCACCCCTTTGGAGAACCACTGCTCTGGAAAAACTCACGCACAAAGAGACATGGGCAAGGATGTTAGTTTATCACACCAAAACATCTGGAAAAACCTAAATGTCCATCAATAAGAGAATGGATGCAATATTACATACTCATACTGAACACGAAATGAATAAACTTGATCTATCTGTATTGATAGAAATATATCTCAGAAATAATGTTGAGTGACAAAAGCAAGCTGCAAAATGAAGCCCATAGTATAATAATACTTGTATTTTTAAAATGTACAAAAAACCCAATAGCAATATATATTGTTTATGATATATACTATTTACTATAAAAGTATAAAAACATGGGCACGGATAATGCATAACAATTTCAGAAGAGTGTTTGCCTCTGGGAAGGGAGGGAGGAAGGGGAATGGGAATAGATCAAAAGGGATCTGAACTAAATCTGTGATGTTTTATTTCTTTAAAATATACAACTTAAGCCGACGTGCCAAAATGTCAATGTTTCTTTATCTAGTTGGTAGGGCATAGGTATTTGTTATACTACCCAGTGTAATACTATTTTTGATAATTTTCAACAATTTTTTAATTTTTAAAGCGGTAACTAGAGGCAGTGTGCATATGAATTGAGATCAGAGAACAGAGATTGGTGACCAGTTGGGATACTATTGCAGTTCTCTAGTTGAGAGATGTTGAGGGCCAGAACTCTGTCTTAGCTGTGGAGATGGAAAGGAGTCTAGGTCTAGGACAAAGGCATCAGAAATGAGGCAAGGTTTTTTTTTTTTTTTTTTTGCTCAGCAAAAGAAAACATCAACAAAATGAAAAGACAACCCACTGAATGGGAAAAAATATTTGCCAATGACACATCTGATAAGGGGTTGATATCCAAAATTTATAAAGAACTCATGCAACTCAACACCAAAAAACAAACAAATAATCCAATTAAAAATGGGCAAAGGACCTGAATAGATAATTCTCCAGAGATGATATACAGGGGACCTTTAGACATATGAAAAGATGCTCAATATCACTAATCATCAGAGAAATGGAAATTAAAACCACAATGAGATATTGCCTCACACCTGTAAGAATGGCTATCATCACTAAAACAACGGACACCAAGTGTTAGCAAAGATGTGGAGAAAAGGGAACCCTGGTGCACTGTTGGTGGGAACGAGGATTGGTGCAGACACTATGGAAAACAGTATGAGCCCTAGCCAGTTTGGCTCAGTGGATAGAGCATTGGCCTGCAAGCCAAAGGGTCCTGGGTTTGAATCCGGTCAAGGTCACGTACCTCGGTTGCAGGTTCCTCCCCAGCCCGGAACCTGGTCAGGGCTCGTGCAAGAGGCAACCAATCGATGTGTTTTTCTCATTTGGATGTTTCACTCTGTCTTTTCCTCTCTCTTTCACTCTCTCTAAAAATCAGTGGAAAAAATATCCTTTGTGAGGAATAAAAAAAAAAAAAGAAAGAAAACAGTACGGAGGTTTCTCAAAAAAGTAAAAATGGAACTGCCTTATGACCCAACGATTCCACTCCTGGGTATATATTGGAAGAAACCTGAAACACTGATTCGAAAATACATGCAACCCTATGTTCATTGCAGCATTATTTACTATAGTTAAGCTATGGAAACAGCCCAAGTGCCCATCAGTAGATGAGTGGATAAAAAAGTGTGGTACTTATGTACAATGGAACACTACTCAGCTATAAAAAGGAAGGGAATCTTACCTTTTGCAACAGCATGGATGAACCTGGAGAGTATTATGCTAAGTGAATAAGTCAGTTAGAGAAAGACAAATACCATATGACTTCATTTATATGTGGAATCTAAGGAACAAAACAAACAAACACAAAATAGAAACAGACTCATCGATACAAAGAACAGACTGATGGTTGCCAGAGTGGAGAGGAATTGGGTTACTGGCTGAAAAACGTGAAGGGATTGAGAAGTACAGATTGGTACTTACAGAAGAGTCATGGGGATGTAAAGTATGGCATAGGGAATATAGTCAATAATATTGTAATAACTAGGTCTGGTGCCAACTGGGTACTGGAAGTATCAGGGGGAACAATTTGTAAAGTACGATATATGACTGTCTAACACTATGCTGTACACCTGAAATTAACACAATAATGTTGAAATGTCAATTCTAATTGAAAAAAAAATTTTTTTAATTAAGAAAAAATAGACGATGCAGGTTTCCTGCTTGGTTGACTGAGCTCTTGGTACTACCCTTAACAAGATACTAGTTAAGTTTAATTTGCTGCTGTTTTGGCTATTACACACAAAAACCTGTATGCCTCGGACCAACTCGAACACCTAGAATACAGGGCAAATGGTAACGGAAGCCGATCGTTAGAAATACTGCCCATCAGTCTGCACAAAATCTTAGAAGTTCGTGAGATACTGGGTTCAGTATATGGTCTGGCTTTAAAGTAATGAGATAAATATCCCCAAACTCTTAGAAGAATGAAGCTCAACACTTTATAACCAAGCCGTACATGTCCTCACTGAGCGTGAAACGGAAGGGCTGGATGGAGCACAGAGTGCTATTGCGGGGAAGGAGTGAGCATGCAGTCACTTCACCTCGGCAATTCAGTGTGTTTTAATGTGAATAATATATTATTTCCCACACTAGAATAGATACATTATTGAGTAAACGTTGATTTAAAATAGTAAAAACAACAGTGTTTTCACTTAATGTCCGGGGCCTTTTCAAACCTTTTTTGAGGACTGATGGTCTAGCCAACCTGGGTTCCAGGGGAAGTCCATTTACTGAATGTCTGTGGCATTTAAAACAGGTAGATTGGCGATGGAATAAAATAGCCGGTCTAGCCCTGGCCCGTGTGGCTCAATAGGTTGGAGCGTCCTCCCACTCGCGGCCAGGTCAGCGCCCCGCCTCCCGCCCCGCCTCTTCCAGCCTCCTCTGGCCCAGCCTCCTCGGCCCAGCTCCCTAGGCTCCAGCCTCAGCCGTTCTCACCTCCGCCATCCTCTCCGCTGCAGGCGGCCCCACTCTTCACCTCCTCCCTCCTCCTTCCCACACCTGGCCGTCCCACTGGTTTCAGCGTTGGTCTGCTCCTAACGAATCACAAAAGGGCTTTCATCCAGGCTGAGCCAGATTCGCTAATCAGCGCCCTTCTTTCAACGCCCAGCTTCCCCTCATTTGCCTACGCTCGCCGTGGCTTCAGGCAGCGTGGTGGGCGGGCACGTCGCACCCCGTTACTCCCTCCGATTGGTTGGAGACCAATCGGTCCTGGGACCCCCGCCTTAAGCTCGATTGGGTAGAAGCAGTCCAGGCTCCGCGCACGCCCCACCACGCATTGTCTGTCAATCACACCATCCCCTAGGTAACCTGCGGGCTCATTGGCCAGTCGCGCCTGAGGGCGAGTTGTAAGTCGGGGAAGAGCTTTCCCGCCACCCCTCGCTGTTACTAGGGGAGACTTCAGTGTATTGCGGAGGTGCGCAGGGTCCCGGCAACCCTTTCCTTCAGGTCCAAGTGCGGAGATAGGTACAGCCGTCTGGACATTAGTGCCTGTTTCGGGGTCTGAGGGGCACCTCAGTTCCTGAGCCAGTGGCGTGCCGGTGGTCAAAGCAGACGTGGCCTCAACAGGGGGGACAGGCCCAGTTATTGAGGGTCCTTCATGTTCCCGGAGAGAACCGAGTACGGCGCGGTCGTTGTGATAACATCATGTTTTCACGTAGTCTCACCTCGCCTTATTTTATGTGGCCGTATTCTCCCGTTATTCTTATGAAGTAGACGGTGGCGAGGCTCATTCTCCTCCCGGGACAGCACTGGGAGGGGAGGCCACGGCCGGTGGAGTGAATCTGCCGTGGCCACACCTCCAGGCCTCCGTCCCCGGAGCTGGCACACGCTTTCAGCCAGCGGCTCTGAATCCAGCTGCGAACTGAATTGAATCTTGCCATGATTTTGTCGCGAGGCTGTAACCTGTTAGACCCAAAGATCCATAAACCAGGCTAACTAACCAAAGGAAGTAGGACAGAGGATGCACGCTCCATTGCCGAGCCCGGCAGGGAAAACAGAAAGCAAAACAGGACCACATGTGAGAGCTCTAGGATTCGAACACTCAACCGCACACAACGTTCTGAAATATCATGAAGCAAACGATCCAATCCTGGGACACCACATCTTTTGATTTAGGGCATCCAATGCTGAATCACAGCTTTAGGAGTGAGATTGAAGACGATGGTTGAACGCCACTGAATGTACGTCTCAAATTTATTCTACTTTTTTTAAACAAAATATCGTTGAAAGTATTACGTATGGCCCCCCCCCAATATTGACCTCTTCTTGCCTGCCCCCGCCCCGCCCCCCACCCCAGGCCTTCACAATAGTCTGTGTCCATGAGTTATGCATATTGATTGATCTCTTTCCACCCACCCACCCTCCCCTGCCTTCCCTCTGAGTATTCTACTTTCAAAGTTTCATTTACAGTCATATGCACAACCACTGATTTCTGATGTGTTTAACAACTTGACCTTCCGTAGACCAATGAGGAGCTCTGTGGTTAAGAAAGCCATTATTTTGATTAATTCATTTGCTTGGAATTGAGTGTTAACCGTAGCTAAGCACTGGTAGGAACTGTGAGGATTACAAAAGAAACACCATGTGACTCCTGCCTTAATAGCTCGTGGTTTGCTAATGAAGCAATTGGAAGATGCTTAGTTTAAAGCAAGATATAACAATGGGCCAGACTTATAGTTAATGGCTCCAAATAATAATAAGGCTTCATATTTACAGAGCATTTAGTAGTTTTCAGAGCACTTCTTCACTTGTATTATTTGGGTGAAATATTGTTTTTGTCAGAGTTAATGTGGCTCTTCATGGTATAGGTAGAACTAATGCCGTGCCCTGGCATTTGGGTAGGAATGGGAAAGGTAGAACAGAGATGAAGGGAATCCAGGGAGAGAAAGTAGTTTGAGCAAGAGACTGAGACAAGAATGAGCACTGAGTATGTGGGAAATAATGTGGAAACTGGTCTAAACCAGAGTGGAGATAGATAATGGAAAATAACATTGTGTAGACCAACTGGCCAGGACCAGTTCTGAGCCCTTAATGTTTTGGGGGAAAGTGTTCAACATTAGAGTTTGGGATAGTTAATAATTTCTAATGATCAAACTGACTTATGTTAAATTATAAATTAAGAATAGGGCATGAGCCCAACTGGTGTGGCTCAGTGGTTGAGCATCGACCTATGAACCAGGTGGTCACGGTTCGATTCCCTGTCAGGGCATATGCTCAGGTTTCAGGCTCCATCCTGGTGTGGGACATGCAGGAGGCAGCCAATCAATGATTCTCTCTCATCATTGATGTTTCTTTCTTTCTCTCCCTCTCCCTCTCAGAAATCAATAAAAAAATAAAATAATAATTTAAAAAATAGGGCATGAGTGAGGAGGCACTCCAAACTTCTTACAACTTCCTGATTAGATATAGCATTTTGGGTTTTCTCTCCGATAAGAAGGTATCCTCCCCTCAGACCCCACCTTTAACTCACTCCTTAACCAGGAAGAGGTGTTAGTTTTCTGATTCGATAATGCTATCCTACCCTCTCATTTAAATTAAAGAAGTGCTGTCACCATACCACTTCATCTTTTGCCATCTCTTAATCAAAGTTCACTCTAAAGAAAATTTATTATTTGACTATCCAGTCTTTCTCTTTTAAGAAATTGTCTCCTGCCCTAACTGGTTTGGCTCAGTGGATAGAGCGTCAGCTTGCACACTCAAGGGTCCCAGGTTCGATTCCCATCAAGGGCATGTACCTTGGTTGCGGGCACATACCCAGTAGGGGATGTGCAGGAGGCAGCTGATCGATGTTTCTCTCTCATTGATGTTTCTAACTCTCTATCCCTCTCCCTTCCTCTCTGTAAAAAATCAATAAAATATATTTAAAAAATAAAAATAAAAAATTGTCTCCTGTACGCCGTGTTACACGGTGCCTCTCCACATTGCTCCACATCCCTGCCATATATGTATCACTCACAGTGTACTACCTGTTCAGTGCACATAGGTGCCATATAGGTGTACATTTGTTTAATTACAATTTTCTCTTAAACAAATAAAAAAATCCAAGCAACGATAACTATAAACACCACTATCTAATTTCCTCTCTCTCAAATGTGTAAAGTCATTGTTGTGCTGTCTGGTAGAGAGGTAGGGTAACAAAAATGAGGTTATTGCCCTAGCCTGCTTGGCTCAGTGGATAGAGCATCAGCCTGTGGACTGAAGGGTCCCAGGTTCGATTTTGGCCAAGGGTACATGCCTGGGTTGCGGGCTCTATCCCCAGTAGGGGGTGTGCAGGAGGCAGCTGATCAATGATTCTCTCTCATCATTGATGTTTCTCTCTCTCTCTCTTTCTCCCTTCCTCTCTGAAATCAATAAAGAAATATATATTTTTCTAAAATGAGGTTATTAGGGTAATGGAGTACAAGAAATGATTGCAGAGAAGATAAAGTTTTCTTGTTCATTTTATGGTTGTCATAACTTTTTCTGACAGGGAGCCCTAAATTTTTGGTATACATTTTCTTATGTGATTATTTTTGCATTTCTGCAGGTACATTCTGAAAACGTGCCTAAAACTTAGTAATTATTGGTATTTAGCTGAGACTCAAAAGCTGCCATTATTCTGCTAAATTGGGAAACTGAGTAAACAGAAATCCCCTCTCCCTCCCGCTCCCAGTCATATTGTCAGTAGTTACTGATTTTCCAGGTCACCCAGAATTACCACCATGATTTTCTAGATTGTAATATTCACCTTATGCTATAGAACAGGGGTCAGCAAACTATGGTGTGTGGGCCCAATCTGGCCTGCCATCTATTTTATGTATGCCCTGCAAGCTAAGAATGATTTTTACATATTTAAATGGTTGGGGAAAAAGAAAAATATGAAATGACATGAAATTCAAAACTCGATGTCTATAAGTCAAGTTTTTCTGAAGCACCAGCATGCTTGTTCATTAGCATATTGCCTATGGCCGCTTTCACTTTACAACAGCAGAGTGGAGCAGGAAGTAAAGAGACTGTATGGCACATATGACTATAATACTTATTATTGGGTCTAAGAAAAAGCTCTGATCCTTGCTATCTTAGAGTTTGCTAGTGAATCAGACCCCATGGAATGTTGGAACTGAAACAGACTTTGGAAATCATGCAGTGTTAGTTTTTTAAAAATCTCACATCGATAGAGACAATATCAGTGTGATTGATAAAAATCTCACATTCTTGCCTAAAATCACATAGTCAGTAGTAGTAGACCCCTGGTTCTGTTGGCTCATGGTTTCTTTCATATATGTTGTGTCTTCCTTGGGGTGAGATAGGTCTGGAAGCAAAGAGAGTCATCAAACATTGTCCTGATTTTGATTTGATGCCTCATCCAGATGAATACACTGCATGGTAACCAATTGATGGATACTTGGACTTTTATGATTTCAGCCAAAATGCGTTGTCTTCTATTTCCCATTTTTCTCATTTCTCAAAAGGTGTAGGGCCATCATGAAAAACTTTCTTTTACTCATTTTCTCTCTTTTACCAAATCTGTCTCCTTCATCAAAGAAATTCAGAGGGAGCTGATTTTCTGTTCCGGTTTAAGGTTCTTAAGGGAAGTGAGGATGGTTAGAAAGGCATAGGATGCAGATTTCACTCTGGAGTCTAGGGATGGGCCATGTGTGCGGAGAGGGGAGAGGGAGTGTCCACAAACCCCCTGGTGAGTTTAGTGTATATACCCATATGTGGGCTTTTCTGGGGAAGGTATCCATAGCTTTCCTAAGATTTTTAAGAGGCCATGACCTCAAGAAAATTTGGAACGATAGATATATAAAAGATGTGTTTGGGGGAGACTGCTGCTCAGAGGTGTGGTGCGGAAGACTGATCTGGGTTCTACGGTAAGACCTCGGCTGATATGCGGGAAGAGCTCTTCGCCCACTCACATCAGCTCACTTAAGTTTTCTTTTTTCTTTTTTTTTTTACCTTCTCTGCCACTCATAAAGGTGATAAAAATTCATCAGATTCACAAA